TCTCCTTGAGATTAATCCGAAATGCCAGACCCAGGAATTTTCTGTGCCATGAAGCTCAGCATGAGTTAGCATGTTCCTTGGTCATATTACTAGGAGTAGAGGGTCTGAAACAGAGGAGGGGATGGTCCTATTTTACCCTTGTTCCAGGCCTATGAATTGGCCATCGGGGGAGATGTCTGGGGGAGTGGGAATTAGGACCCTGATGGGGTCTCCATGCCTTCTTTTGTGCAGATCCTAGAAGCCACAAGGGTGACTCGCCACAAGAACGCCATGGCAGAACGCTGGGAATCCGGCATCTATACCAGTGAGGACGAGAACTGAGCCTGGGGATGAAGGCGCCCACCCCCTGCCCTGCCCTGACCCTCATGGGAACTGCCAAGATGGTCACCAAGTCCCCCACCATAAGAAATAGGTCCCCATTTAAATCCACGATCCGAGACCCACAAATCGTAGGCCGACAGTCCCTCTGAGGATGCGTTTAGGACGGAAGGGCTTTCTTTCCATTTTTGTCTTCCTGGAGGAGTGTTTCTGCTTTGGGGGTCTAAAGCTAGAGATGAAGCGGGACCTCTGCCAACTCCTTCTGCTTCTGAGACTTTGCCAAATGCTCTGGGGTCCAAGAAGGAGGGAGACTGGGTCCTCCACCTTCGTATGTAGTTTGTTCCTGCCAGTCTGAGGGCACAGTGGCTAGTCAAGCAGAGATCTGGACACCTTGAGGAGCTGCAGGTCTGAGGGGGGAGACTTGCCCATTCCAACCCTGGGGGACCTTCTGGTCTGACGGAGGACCCCCGATCCCCTGGGAGTGGGGGCCTCTGTACAGTCCCCAAACCCCTCCCTGGAGTGCACCCAGCAACACCAGCTGGGCTCAGAGCTCTGACGCTAGTGGGGTCCCATAGGGACAGACCCCCTCACCTGACAGATAAAAGGGCTCCATTTGGGGGCTAACAGGGGTCTTCCTTCCCCACCCCCAAACTGCATGTCTATGTCCATCATGGAATAAACCTGGAGTGAGCTGCCTACCCGGCCCCTGCCTGGTGGGGACGAAGCGCCTTTGCACAGCCCCGTCTTGTCATTTTTCTTGGTGAAGTCCTGCTGGCTCTGAGACCCACGACGGGCATCGGGTTCAGGCTGGACACTCCCAGGCGTGCCGTAGGTTCTCAGCGGGTGCATGTTGAGTGACCCACAGAACTGAGCATGAGTGGCCGCCTTCAGTGACTGTCCCCACCCTGCTCTCTGTCACCCCCGTCCCACCGTCAGCAGTGGCACTGGGAAGGCTCACGAAGCATTTGCTGAGCCCCTGACCTGCCCGGTCTTCGCAGAGGTTGGAGGGGTCATGAACTGGGCTCCGCTTGAAAACCAGGCTCATATCTGGGCAGGCCGATCCTGCTGGCCAGGGGGGTGGGTGCAGGACCCAGATCCCGGCTCCTCTGCCAACCGCTGTGTGGTCTTGAAGGGTACTCTGACCACCCCGTGCCTTGGTTTCCCCTCTACACACAGGGACGATAACAGAACCAGGCTCCTGGGCAGTCAGAGGAGCTCGTTTACCATGAAGCTCTCAGCACATGGGGGACATTGATGACACGTTCCACACCCGATGGCTGGGGCATGTCCCTTCCAAGCTGTCCTCGCCTCCAGGCACCCCACCCCTGCTGGGAACAGCTGGTGTTAATTAAGCCCCGCAGGGCCCGGCTCCTGCCACGCCTCCTTCGCCTCCGCCACCGCCACCGTTGCAGGGAAACCGCGGCAGGGCTGTTTTAAGAATCCGTCTAGGGCCTGCCCGTGGCTCACTCGGGAGAGTGCGGTGCTGATAACACCAAGGCCACGGGTTCGGATCCCATATAGGGATGGCCGGTTTGCTCACTGGCTGAGCGTGGTGCTGACAACACCAAGTCAAGGGTTAAGATCCCCTTACCAGTCATCTTTAAAAAAAAAAAAAAAAAGAATCCGTCTATAAGGCTTCTCACGCCAGGCCCAGCGGGCAGATGGGGCCCACAACATCCGGGACAGGGACAGGGCTGTGGGGACCCAGGGCGGGCTGGGGCGGAGTGCAGGTGAAGGCACGCGCCCTCAAGGAGACCCTACACAGAGGGAAGGCACATCTCACGGTCCTTAATCCTACC